TACTCTGAAAAGATTTTGGACCTATAGCATATTACTACCAAGGTACTGTATTTCTTAACAGAATACTGTGATCTCCATCAGGAACACTAGGAAAACTTAGGTTCAAATTTCGACTTGAAACTTAAGACAGATACAGGCTTTAGCAGAAATAGTTTATAGTAAAAGTTTCAGGTCTTTTGAGTGCTTCTATCTGAATATACGGCTATAGTAAAAACATATTTTTCATGTAGCTCCTATATAACGACAAACTCCGATAGTCTTATTTCAGAATGGGGGCAGTAGAAAAATCTGAAACTTTCACAGCAACCTATTTTCGTTAATGCCTGTATCTGTGCAAAGTACCAAGTCAATATTCAAAACTCAATGTCTTAGTGTTCCTGAGGCCATAACACAGATTTCTGCTAAAAAAGACGGTAAAAATACAGTCTTCACAACAATAAGTTAACAGAACGAACTCTTTTCAAGGTATTTATAACTCTTTAAGCTCTACATGATGCACATGGTCCAGATACAAAAGCGGTTTGACACTAACAAACGTTATCTCATAACTAAAATTTATATCTACTCAGTGAATAATTTGAATGATTATTAAAAATATTGTACGCCCTATTAATTTAAATGTTCTCGACAATAAAAATCTTTGCTTAGTTTGATAGTTAATATAAAGTCAAATATATTTCAACACTAATCAGAGAACATTTTCAACTGATAAATCGTTTCTGAGTTCGGACTCTGTGCATAAGATACACTCCAATGAGATATGAAAAATCCAAAACGGATAAGTGCCATTAGACCTTCTGTTCAAAGTTAGAGGCATTTTACTGGAATTTCGGCCTATGGTATGATATATATATCAACGAATCGAATGACGATATTTCGATCTATGATTTTGCTCACGAACAGGTTTACTTGTGAGTAGAATTCCCTGAAAATTTCAGCTCCAAAAAAATGTTTCCCTCCTGAGATATTAAATTTCCAAGAATCACTCATATGTCAGAAAAGATGCTAGAATTTTCTGTTTTTTAGAACTTTAATATCTTACGAAGGAAGCATTCTTTTGAGCTGAAATTTTCAGGGCATTCTACTCACAAATAGATCTGTCCGTGGGCAAAATCATAGGTTGAAATATCGTCATGGGATTTGTTGATATATATCATACCATAGGCTGAAATTCCACGGTAAAATGCCTATAACTCTGGATAGAAGGCCTAATAGCACTTATCCTTTTGGGTTTTTCATACCTCACCCAGATCTAACTTATGTACAGAGTCCAAACTCAAAAGCGATTTATCAGTTGAAAATGTTCCTTCATAAGTCAATAAATTGAAATTATAGTGATAAAACAAACTCGATCAGTAAAAAATATTATCAGCAAGTAATTTGTACTTGAGGCGAATTAAGATTATTAAATATGAGATAAAGATTTTATAGATTGTAGTATGGCGAATATATTTTCTCTCTCATGCTTGCCTTCTTGCAATCAGTGAAGATTGTGAAATACTGTTTAAAAATAGGATAAGAGAGAGAGAGTTTTCAAAATATTTTGAACAAGATTGGTTAAATATTCATGATTCATAGTATCAAGGATACAATTGTTTAACACTATGTACAAAAAAATCATAAAAATTAACAAATGAAATCATCAGTGATAAATATAGATGTGAAGAACGACATGAACTATCAAGATTTTTTACCATCGCAAATGGTATTGTACATAGATGATTCAATCTCTACATTAGAATCAAACAAATACAATTGTATATTTAAGATGACCAACAATTACACTTAACAATTAGACTGATGCATACCATTTTTCAGGAGCTACAAAAGAAACATTACAAACAATACTTAATACAAAAGGTTTGAGTAATTAATATAGCACCAACTATAAAAGCACAAAATATTACAGAAAAGAAAAAATCAACATAATTTTATCAATTCAAAGATCTTCAATTTCGAAAGCAACTTTGCCAGACGATGCATCACAATAGAAAAAAAGACTTTACCATTCTATTGTCAAAATATATTTGTAGACATCTAATTGAAGTAGCAATTACGTTGAGAGCTTGAAAACCACTTGCAGCAATGAAGGATGTACCGTCGATGGAAAACAGTAAATAAAGATAATCACAAAAAAAGCCAACAAAAACTTCATTAATAAAATAATTGTGTAATTAAATTTGTTACTTATATGTGTATGTTTATTAGTTTTTTCATAAGGAAACTTTTATATCGAACAGTTGATTTACAATATTTTGCATAGACAATGCAAATTTTTCATCGAGAATTTAAATAAAATGCTTAGTAAAAATGTATTCTTGTTGCTTAATTTTTTATTAAAAATTACTACGCATTTAGAAAAGGCCCTTTGTTTCATCAAGAAATAACTTGTCCAAGAACGCAATAAATTTTCATTTACTTCAATGAAGAAGGATTACGTAGTTTTCTTAATTGAAACACTGTTAATACTCTTTATTCTGTTGATCTCTCAACACGATCACAAAAGTTATTCAAGAAGTTTAATTGCAAATATTCAATTAAATACTTATAACAGATGTCGCAGATGAAATGAGACAATATCATTTTTCTTTTTTTGGATCATTCCAATACATTTTCACAAAAGCATCCAATAGACAATTTTTCACTCCACAAAAATATTTCGTTTGTTTTTCAAATAAACTATTTTTGTTGAAGAAAAATTCAAAATATAAATGTCTGTTTCATCATTTAACTGTACTTTTTGATTTTGTATAGATATCAATCGATTTCTGTAAATCTTTACTTCAAAAAGCAACGAAGCTAGCATTGATGGATAAAGAATTTTGTGCTCTTCGCTTTTATGATCTTTTCAAGGTTTCTAATTGTATCGTTCATGAGAAAAAAAGCTAGGAACTAAAATCTACTGATATTTGTCTAGGCATGCCACAAAAAAAGCGTGTTTTCCAAAGCGAAACTAGATGTGTGAAATAGTCATTTTCGTGTTGTCGGATGTGAAACTTAATTATAAACAACAGGTTATGATAACTACATTGAAGAGTGCAAACGATTAGATTGTATCGAAATAGAAAAAAGAACGATCACTTATTTCTGTTAAGCAAGGCATTTTTTCCAATATTTACTTCATGATTATTCTCGCAAATATTTCTTTTGAAATTCTAATACATCTATAAAAAGATTCGAAGATTTTGTGGCATGTTTGATATTTTAGAAATCCATTGTTAAAAACTAATTTGCATAATTTTTTTCGTTTTCTTTTTGATCGTCGTATTTGGACGATAGAGCAAATGTTAATATTTTAAATTTAGCTGCAACAATTTTTTGTAGAGAACTAAATTTTCGATAGAATGATTTTGCTGAAAGTATATCTGACAGATCTAAAATAGAAGGAGGTGTGATATTTATTCTGTTTAATTTGTAACATCTGTTATATGATTATACTCTCTTGTTGCTATATAAAAACTTTGTTGAGATAATGAATACTTTCATCAATTTTGTTAATACAACGGAAAGTTTTATGATTGATTTCTATACCTTTTAATTATTGATTCAAATGTCTTGTATTAAATTATAGTGTTAACGAATTATTTTTTTCCTACATAGTATTTAAAAATGTTTGGTTTCATTCTGAATTTTTGTTATGATTAATATGTTATAAAATTTACATACAATTTATGTTTTAGGTAGAAACTTTTACAAAACTATTCAAGCATCTCGAAAATATCATGGATGAGGAAATGTGGAATTTTTCTAAAAAAAGTTCTTTGTTTTTAAGAGTTCTATATAATACGAGACGAAAAAGCAATAATATTAATGTATTTCTAGGTGAAAATATTTTCAATGTCGTACTACTGAGTTGTAGAAACTAGGTAAACTCTTCTGGTATTAAAAAAATGGCACCAGAAAAGATTATTGCATCTGTCGATGAAAAAAAAATTTGTTTATAGAATGAAATTACTCTACACTTTGTTCTATTGATAAGTCTATCTTCATTTATTACTTTGCATATACATGTTTTTTCACTAATTTTCCACAGCTGTTGTTATTGCGTCACTAGCTTCTCTAAGCATGTATTTTAATGATAACTATATTATGAGTCAAACATTTACGCAGAAGTTTTAACATTTTGTCATACTTAAGAATTTTGAATAATAAAAAGAGTTTCTTTTCGACGAATCTAGTTATTAATAAGGTAATTATTTATTACTTATATTTCGATCAGAAATTATATAGAGTATTCAATTAAAATTTATGCATCATATGTATTCTACTGATTATTTCAAAAAAAAGAAACAAATTGTTATACCTTTTATGTTTAAATGATTACGTAGATAGAACTAAAAATAGAATATAGAACATTAAAATGCAACGTCATACATATTTATCATCAGGTTGTTACTTTGACCTTGAAGATAAAAAAATTCCTTTTTGTAAAATTATGAAATAGATTTAGTTAATGATATTACTCTTGCTATTTTTTATTTTTGTTTTCACTTTAAAATTTTAATGAAATACTTTTGATATGTAATTATTTTCGAGATGATCTAAAAATAAGATCAAGTAAATTTTACACAGTAGAACAGGAATGAAAGATAAAGTCAGTATAATCGAGAATAAAAAGAAAATATAATGACGTATTAGACAAATTAAAAAAAGAAAGCAAAGAAAAAAGTTTTTTTTTGTAACGTAGATTCGCTCTGAACGCATGTGAATGGCTGTCGCGACACCATTGAAAGCTAATACATTTGCTTCCTCCATTTAGCGTTTTTCTTTTTCTTTTTCTTTTTCTTTTCTTGTCTATATCGTGTACTCTCGTAATGGAAGATACGTAACTATATCATTGTTTTTTTTCAAAAACGCCGAAAGCATTCGTCCTAACACAGTTCTAAAGTTTTTTCAAAGTATATAAATTATTTTCCTTTTTTATATTTTAAAGGAATGTTCTTACAATTATTAAGAATTTACAAATTTTTTTATTGATTAATCAAAGAAAAAAACTAAACATGGCGATAGATTCTGAAAATGATTTCTCAAATATTTTGCTTGATGATAATTCTTTAAATAATTCTCCATTGGATCGTAATCCTTCATATGAAATGAATAACAGTCATAATGAGTCAACAAGTACACGTCCAAAACCTACGTTAAAGTGTATTGTTTGTGGTGATCATGCATTTGGTACAATAAATTGTTTTTTTCTTTGTTTTCATAATATTTATTTTAATTTATATTAGGATACAATTTTGATGCTATTTCTTGTGAATCATGTAAAGCATTTTTTCGTCGAAATGCATTACGACCACCGGTAAAATTTTCTTTTATAGTTATAAATTTATTAAAATTTGTGAATAGAAGAAATTATGATCATATCAAAGAAAAAATTAAACACTACTATTATTATAAAATTTTGTCTGATAAAAAAAAAATTAAATATCACGTAGTACATTTTTTACCTAATTTTACAGTTATGCAAAGTAATTGCTAGAAAAATCGAGAATGATCGAATTCTGTTGTTATCTCATATCTCTGAAGATGTAATTTTTCTTTTGTATGATTAATTCATAGGAGTTTTTAAGATTAATTGACATTTATTATATTACATAATAGGTAAAAAAGAGTTGTTATGAAATTTTTTTTATCTACAATTATTTATTAGACTAAAAACATGATAAAACACAATAACAGTAGCGGAGAAAAAGCGCAGTCATTATAAATGCTGGAGATTTGAAAATTATTGTGCCCATACTTGATCAAGAGTGTGTGTCGAAGACACAATTCTGCTTCGATGGCTTAAATACAAGGAGAATTATGATGTATGACACCTGTTATTTTTTTGCATTAAACTTTTTAACCTGAAAAGAATTGTTTACTTCACTTTACACTACTTTCTTACGAAATACAGAATTAATTCTTGATGCTTTTGAATATAACTTGATTTCAGTTTGCAGTTATCCTTTACGCAAAAGATGAATTCATTTATTTCTGAATTCTTCATATCATCAACACGATCGTCATCTCATCAGTACATAGTTTTTATATGAAACGTGTAGGCATTAATGTCCAACAAAAGAAGTGGCTCTACTAAGACTTTGAGCTTCATTTACTGAATTACTACTGTGTTATTGTCTGCAAAAGGGCATCAGATGATTTTTCTTCCCATCAAGTCATAGTAAAAAGGTCACAATGCAAGAAAAGATTGATAAAATTCAATGAAATTAGTTGCGTGAATACACCTGGGATATAACACTATTATAATGAGTCGTTAGTAGTTAACCTAGAAAACTTATCTTTTCCCGAGTTATGACGTTCAAAGGCGATATATAGGTGCCATCAATTGTCAACTATCATAATTCTCTTTCTACTTTAGCAACCAAAGCACAATTGCATCTTTGATCTGCATTCTTGACGAAATATGTGCATACTAATTTTCCGGGCCTCTAGTATCTATGATGGCTAAAATCCTATAGGGTGGAGACTTTTCTCCACTAATATATTTGAATGTGGATAGAATGATTTACTCAATTATGTATCTCGGACAATATAGATACATTTGATGAAAATTGATTTCAATTAAGAGAGTATCAAATGTCAAATTGTAAGTGTCATCTCATGTTATAGTTCACGTTTATTTTTACGACAGAATAATTAGATCCAGATAAAAAATATTCTATAAATCAAAAATAATTTTTTTAAATAAGAAAATAGAACTGATTTACGAGATTTGTCTATATTATCTGTATTGTCAGTTTTTTTGACATTGTAGAAAATAAAATCTTATTTCATAATACAAAATTACTTTAAACCAGTAGTGTTGTGACAATGAATAATTAAAGCTTCATCTTTCTGAAATATTTGCTCACATGTTACGAGTTTCAACTTATACTGCCAGAGCTCTAAGATTCATCATGTTACACAGTCTTGTCGCAGAACTATAGTAAAATATTTTGGCAGTGAGCCACCACGAGATTTATTGATTTTTTTCGTCTTCTAACAATACTGTTCTTTTGTCAGAACAAATTTAATTTCAAAAACGAACAAACTCATTTCTCGTGGTGTTTATTAGCAAAGGATCGATTCCTTCCTTTTTGCTTGTAAATCAATAGAATCCTGTAGACATTAAAAAAAAAACATAAGAAACCATTAAAACCCAGATTAAATATGAAGCGTAATGCGAAACATCGACAATTAGAGACATCTATAAAAATTATTAGAAATAAACAGAAATTAGAATTTCAATTTTAATCTTATTATTATTAGTAGTAATTTTTCTAATAGTTTAAAATGGTTTCTAATGCTTTCCGGTAATTTGTGATGATTTCGAGCCATCTTTCATGTCATTACCAGGTAACAGGTTTCTAATGATTTCTCGCACTAGAAATTAATTTGTTTCATTTTAAGTAAATCTATTAATATGAATAATTGTTATTAGTTGTTTTATATTTTAAAACAGTCAATATGTATTCTATTTACTTTATTTGATATCCTGAAATGAAATTCTGATTGAGACGTATATTCAGGATAAAGAGCAGAAAACATTATAGGAGACATGTCCTGCAGGACCTGCAGCATTCTGTAGTGCAAGACGTTGGATCTGCCCAGAAGATAGCCTATTTTGTACTGTACATGCACAAATAGAGCAATCTTTTATTAGGACGCAGGATCTGCAGGACATTCAAGTCATTTAATTGATCATGATTCAATGAAATTCTGGCCTAATAGTGAAACTCATCATGATTTTCGATTATTATCAATAGTAGCTACAAGAGTAGATGTCATACCATTAACTAATGCTTTTGTGGAAAAATTGCTTAGCTCAGCTATATTGACATTTACTCAAAGATGAACGCGTTTATCATCAAGTAAAATTGACAAACATATTATTTCTTCGTTCATACGAGAAATTCAAGAAAAAGCGATAAAAAGAAAACTTATCCTATCTTGCTGTCCATCTTTTTATATCGATCTGCATATGGAATCCTGTATCTTTATGTTTTTTCTTTATTATTGTTTTATTCGCCTTATGCATGTCAAATATTTTCTTTATTGTTTATTTCATTTGTGCTGGAAAATATGCGATAAGGTTCATTGACATGATCATATTGTAAATAATTTTGTATAAATAGTACGTCTATGATATTTGATATCGTATCTAAAATGCAAATAAGTTTTTATCCTTTGATAGAAAAATGTAATGGAAAGATTGTCGTGCCGGTCGAACGTAGGAAAGTTCTTTGTCGTGCCTAGACGAACTTTTTGATGTTCTACAGAACGCAAGGCAGGAAGAAAACTATTCTTTGATGTTCTCTGATGAAGAATACAGAGTTTGTATACATTCATAAGCAATCATGTTGCATCGTATACGACCGAATTCTCAGAATTCAGTACGATTGTCATATTGGCCATATAAACTTCAATATCTCTGAGAATACGGCCGTTCAAAACCGTACTTGTTTCGATGGGATGCTGGAAATATTCATAAGAGAAAGTCATCTTTCAAAGAAGACAGAAAGGATATTTAACGAGTCGGCGAGAGTGAGCTAGTGTCAGCTGTGAATTTTCAGCTGCTTCAAAGGTCTCTGTGTGATCCATGTATAAAAATCAATATGGAGTGTGTCCTCGAGTAATAAAACAAACTTTAAGATCCTGACACATTGTTAAAGCATATGAATGTAACGAATTTCTCTAGTACTGATTAAAGCTTGTTTTTAACGTTTTGGATACTAATTTTCTTTCCATGCATTTTCGTCTAATTTGTTTTTGTTTTATTAATTTGTCAAAAGTTGTCCACCCGTAATGTTCATGCAGTAGGTGTCATCTATCGAAAGTAAGTCCATATACTTCTTCTATATTTTGAATGATAGAAGAATTTTTCAAGTGTTTTATCATAAAATGAAATTTAAAATAACGTTGAAAAGTATCACTTTCGTCTTCGATACAAAGACGAAAGCTTTCTTCAATTAAAAACAGTAAAATACAATGCTTTTGTTATTTTTTTATTGTGTTTTGTAAAAACTCAAATCTTCTACCATATCTTGATTAACATCTTTTTTTCTATGACCTACTATAAGGATTTTGAACTGGTCTCATCTCTCTTAATACACCAACTATTTAATTTTTTGTTTCCTTTTGAAAAAATTTAAAGAAATACTTTTAAACAGATATCAAAAAATTTAGGATATGGCTCCGGATCTGATGGCATGCGACGAAAAAGTTGGCCCATCCTATCTCATGAATCCTATAAGACAATTCGTCCATTAAAAAGATTTTTTCAAGTCTAGAATTGATTTTCATGACTTTTTTTTTGTCTCATTTCAGTTCCTCTCTATCTGCTTCCGTTTAGGTTAGTTAATTACATGTTTTAAATTTCATACGAGTCGCATAAATTCTACTTGTTTGGACAAAAACAAGATTGGAAATCTAGCGTATTAGGATCTTGTTGAACTTTAATAAATACGCTAGTAGATCCATTGGAATTCATTGAAATCCGTTTAAGTTTAAAGAACTTTGCTTGGATTCAGAACCCGTTATTTCTCATAAAGATTTCAGTACCATGTCTTCAACGAGGAGCAATATCCCGGTATTCGTTGGCTTTTTGGCAGGAATTGAGTGCACCTTGTGGACCTTATTGAACTAAATTTACCATAGAAAGCATTCTTGACCATGGTTTGCTTCCGAGGAGATTGAACGTTTTTACTGAATTGTGACTGTAGGAGCCCATGTTTGGAGTAAGATCATGCACTCGAAATTTGACTTGACACTTTGTTCACATAAAGACATCAATCAGACTAACTGACATTAAAAAAATTCCAAATTTTTGGATGAGATCTTATCGAGATATGAGGCTTTCAAAAAATACGTATAGCTGGCATTATCTATGGAAAAGAGCTTTTACCTTAAGGCCCCACCCCTCCTAAAAAAAGTCAATTGTCGTCAGAATCATCGAAATTGAGAAAAATGCATAGGGAGATAGCCTGTGATCTGCTCTTTCATATATGATAAAAATTTTTATTCAGCATCTCTTCTTTTCCAAAAGTTTTGGAAGATTTTCGTCACCCTCTATTCGAAAAACAGGCCGTTTTTACAAAAAACCGAAAATCGTTTTTCATTTTTCTCAGAAGGTAGGTTCGACGACGTAGCGCCACCGCC